GTATGGTTTTACGCCACTTTAAGCAATATTCCAGCAACATTACGGCGGGGGACACCAGAAATGGGTTTCACACATTGTACCCATGTGGGGAATCGAACCAGTGTCTTCAGCGAGCGAACGCTTTAACCACTAGGCTACCCCACCGCCCCTCAGCGGTGATGGATGGAGATGGTGGATGGATAACCCCCAGGAAGGGATGGAGTTTGTTGAGGGTTCGTGGTGGTAGCTTTCGTGTGTGCGCTCAGGCGTGCGCGTGTGTGTAATCATGAATGGAGCGGCCATCAGAGACAGTCTCGTGATGAGAATACAGATAAAATTTAGTCAGCTATCTACGAGTTTATTGCATTCGTTCATCTTTCGCATAGGTGAGAGCGCATAGAAATATCTTTCAACCATTTAGAGTTTTAGAAACAAGTCTAGTACTTCGTGATTGGTACATAAGAACATCTTTATGTATGTCTGGAGAGTGAATGAGTGAGTTTAGTTTTGCGCCGCTTTTAGCAATATTCCAGAAATAGGCTTCGGGCGGTGGGGTAGCCTAGTGGTTAAAGCGTTGGCTCGTCACGCCGAAGACCCGGGTTCGATTCCCCACATGGGCACAATGTGTTAAGCCCATTTCTGGTGTCCCCCGCCGTGATATTGCTGGAATATTGCTAAAAGCGGCGTAAAACCAAACTCAGTCAGTCAGTCAGAAATAGGCTTCACACACTGTACCCATGTGGGTAATTGAACCCGTCGTGAAAATGGAGCACCACCACCTGCCAATGCAAACCCTGTTTGGAGAAATGTCCTCTGGCCGTCGTAACACAGGGGTATACAGATTTTCTGAAGAAGAACCTCAGCTCCTGCGAAATTGACCACAGCCAATGGACGACCAACATGATAAAAATAGGGCATTTGTACTACGCTGCATTCCGCACCACGGTGGGGCACACACAAAGCGCTACAATCTCATTATTATTACCCCGGATAACCCAAGCTGCCTGTCGCAGGCGCTATAAGGTATGAGTCAAATGACTTATCCCACCGGGTACCCATTTTCTGCTGAGTGAACAGAGGCATGTTTGAACAAACTCACTTGTCTAAGGTGAGTGCTTCGTTGTGGGGCAGGCCTGAAGAGCTAGAAACTCTCAGGAGTCAAGCTACCAAACATTGTCACCCATCCAAGGACGATCCGCCCCCAACGTTGTTTAATTTCAACTGATTTGTGACCTTGGCTCTACGCATAGGACTACACACAAACCGACCATCAAACCTGGAGAAACGCAGTCCATCAGGCTGTCTCTTCCTTCGAGATAAATCATAGAGCTGTTCCCGAAGAAAACGGTACTAGGAGGAATAACCGGGAAATGGCAGCACCAAACCCAAACCTTCCTCTGTACGTGGTCGCTACATCCTCTATAATCGCGCCTGTTTTTCGCGGATCGGTCTCAACACCCACCACACGGCCTGAAGACGACGTGGTCGTCATTCACGGATCGGTCTCGACAGCCACGACCCGGCCTGGAGACGACGTGGTCGGCCCTCGCGGATCGGTCTCAACAGCCACCACACGGCCTGAAGACGACGTGGTTGGCTCTCGTGGATCGGTCTCAACAGCCACGACACGGAATGAAGACGACGTGGTCGGCATTCGCGGATCGGTCTCAACAGCCACGACACGGCCTCGAGGTGGTCATTCGCGGATCGGTCTCGACAGCCACGACACGGAATGAAGACGACGTGGTCGGCCCTCGCGGATCGGTCTCAACAGCCACGACACGGCCTCAACGTGGTCGGCATTCGCGGATCGGTCTCAACAGCCACCACACGGAATGAAGACGACGTGGTCGGCCCTCGCGGATCGGTCTCAACAGCCACGACACGGCCTGAAGACGACGCGGACACCCACCTCAATAAATCTTCGTTCGCCAGGCAAAACCTGACTTTATTAAAAACTAGTTTTTTGTTGGTGTATATTTGCACATGTTTATTGCTGTTAATAATATAGCTACGCCTACTTTTAGACTAAAATAATGTAGATGATGTAGATAATCAATCAATTGCCACTTCCAGTCAACGAATGTAATTTGTTAATGTTTATTTTCTTACCCCAACGTCTTGACTATGTTTTGTCTGTGCTAGACAAACAATACATGCAAAAATGTCTCTCAATGGAGAACCCATAAGGCTAAAGTGAACCCAGATAATATGAGAGCTTCTTCTGCTTTTCTTATAATGCCTCCTCTCCAGCTGATGAAGTTCATTAACACAAAATGCTCAGTGACTGTATTGAGCCGTGACCGGCTGAAAAGCTATTTCACGTTTGCTGCCATTTCAACATCTGCAATGCTGAATTTACAGTGGCAAGTAATTCCATTAACATGTTATGTTAAATGTAGCATTTGTGCTGTTTGCCTCAAAAGGAAACAGAAAATATACAAAGGGTCTAGCTGTTCATCATTATCATCATCATCATCATCATTATCATGACATTGAATAAAAGATTAATGAAGGCATATTTTTTAGAACAAAAAACATTCTTCTTGGTACGTTTCCCCACAAAGAAGTTCCGTTTCATTGAGCATATAAATATTTAACAGTACATATTTTTATGCTTAACAGACCATATAACAGACCATAGCAGAATAGACATTAACATTCACTTGTCAAGGTCACAAGGACTTCCAACACAGACGTAATTAATTCCAAAGACACCCTATCTAAATTCACATGGTATAATACATATTACATATTTGATCCAAGAAAAGTGGTCACTGGCATAGAATGTGTACAGTAATCGTAACATATGCACACATTTCAGCATCCATATATACTTCTTCAACGCGGGTGATATAATCAAGGTACAACGTAACGTCGATGCAAAGAATTCAAAACATGTTATCCCTAAACAGTGTAACGTATTCTTCATCTGTCAACATGGACTACAAAATACTACAGCGTGTCTGCTGTCAGATTCCGTTTAGAATGAATGTAGGTGGGGAGGGGTGGGGTCTTCGGATTGGGGGTGGAGCGTGGGGAAGGGGGTGTCGGGAGAGGCAACATTCACGTGGGTTCCAGCGAAATATGCATAATGGCCGAAGCTGATATTTTACCGAAACTGTTTTCGCGATTAAAACATAATTATGCATTATTTATAATTGACAATTTGGGAAGGTGTTTCTGATTACTTTATCTTTCACCCAGCAAAGTATTACAATTCACTCGTATTCTCCTTTAAGTTTTAAGATTCCGCTTTATGTGCTGATTTGACTTCGTTGGTAGCATGAAAAGCCTACTACTATTGTCGATGCCAGTACAGGTTATGGTGACGTCACACAGGAATGACAGTTCCAAACACTTCCGATATAATGACATCAATTCGGCAAAACCTACCTTTATGAAAGTAAGCGTAAACATTGTTCTTTTGAATGTGATATGTACTGCCGGAAAAGGTATATGTGATACGTATGAAATAGCGTTCATCTTATGTTATTTACAATGACACAATTAGATTTAATCGTTCGTCTGATCAATGTTTAATCATAATACATTCAGTGACAAAACTCATACCTGGTAATATGAAACGCTTTGACACACACTAACAGAAGTTTGGTGAAATAATTGGTTCAACAAGGTTGAGGGCGTGACAGGAGAGGCATCGTCAGTATGTGACAAAGTGACACTGACACTGAATGTGACATCATTCACGGATGCACATATGTGTAAACTTTCTCATCGCTATATTGCTGAAATATTACTGATATTAATGAGTGATCTTAGTTAGTTTTTAGTAATATTCCAGCAATATTACAGCACGGAACACCAGAAATATGCTTCACACGTTGTATCCATGTAGGGAATCGAACCCGGGCTTGTGGAAATATTACTGATGCGGCCTTAAATTTTCACTCACTCACTCGTTTATGCATGTACAGCGAAAGGACGGTAGTTATGCTGTAATGAGGTTTCTCAAGGACAAAATGATAAATTGTGGGAAGACACTTGAACCCAATACAGCTACCACCAAAAAAGATATGTGTCCTGTAAAGGTCTTGTGTTAAGTCTTCTGGAAAAAACATGTTGGTGAGCAGTTCCTAAGGATACGTTCAGAGTAGATGCGTTTGGAATATATGTGCCCCAAACAGTGGTTCAATATGGCCGTAGAAATACGTGGCCAATGTCTAAGACAAACAGAAAACCGACAAAGCCTTTGTTGAGATATGAAGAAAACTGTACGTATTAGCAAAACTTTTTGAATTATATATACTTTGCCATGTGGCATATTTTGACTCTCAATGATACATACATACAGCACATTTGGTAAGAATCTGATATAGCTGGCGATTAAGTTGTCATCAGAAATGAATGTGTGATTGAGTGAATAAACAAAACAACGAAGGAACGTACGATCGGATAAAAGAAAGAAAAACGACCGAACGTACGGTCGAATGAAAGAACGAAACTACGAAGGAACGTACGATCGGATAAAAGAAAGAAAAACGACCGAACGCACGGTCGAATGAAAGAACGAAACTACGAAGGAACGTACGATCGGATGAAAGAAAGAAACAACGAACGAACGTACGATCGTATAAAAGAAAGAAAAACGACCGAACGCACGGTCGGATGAAAGAAAGAAACAACGAACGAACGTACGATCGGATGAAAGAAAGAAACAACGAACGAACGCAAGATCGGATGAAAGAAAGAAACAACGTACGATCTGATGAAAGAAAGAAACAACGAACGACCGTACGATCTGATGAAAGAAAATTAGCAATATCCCAACAATATCACGGTGGGAGACACCAGAAATGGAGATGAAAGAATAAACAACGAACGAACAAATGAACGAATGAACGAACAAAAAAATAGGGGACGCACTAAAAACTAGAAACCCGGTAACCTACAACAACCAGAACAAAGTCACACTTCAGAAACCCAGAGAGTAATTGCAACTGTGTTAAAAAGCAGATCAATGCTCCGCTGGCATCGCGAGTCTGTCTATCCGCAGCGTCCACATCGTGTACAGCGGCTGAGAAGCACAGTTCTGGCGTGACGATGCCCAGCTGCAACGTAAAGTAACCTTCAGAAAAGCCATATAAACGACTCACCCAAAACGGCATCGACTCCAACGTGTTCATGGAATTTTCGATTTCACAAATGGAATAAGAAATTTGACCTATTTAGCCAAGAACCAAGACTAAAAAGTATTTTTGTACGAAGTATTTTTTGGTTCGTTAGAAGCATGGAAGGTTGAAATTATCTGTGTGAATTGCATTTCTCTGTGGAAGGAGAAAGTGACATAAGGCTCAATGGCATTACGGATAATCAGGATTTCAAATTTATGAAAACGTGTGGTTGTAACAAAAACATATTCCAGTTGGATAAAACACTTGGATGGAGAACCCAGTAGATGTTTGCTGTGGAAGATGATGTTCTTGTGGCTAATCACCTTTACACTAATAAACAGTAGTTGCGAGGAAGATGGTATGCAGTATACACCGTACATGAGAGTATGGGATATGGACGGGAAGACAGTACCGAATGACTTCATGATTGGATTTACGTCAGCGAAGTCAAAACGTCATTGTGCGTCAATGTGTGCGGCAAACAGTCTGTGCACATCCTTCTTCTACAACACCAACAGTTATGCCTGTAAACTGGTCCACAGACTGGTGTCCAGTTCGGATACTCTGCTTGACGAGATTCATTCACTGTATTATAGTAAGTACACTTTTTAACATTTTTCTATAGAGGGGAAGAGATCCTTCAAGATCCGGGTTAGAATTGGTCTTCAGTAACCCATGCTTAACGTTAGAGGAGAGTAACGGGATCGGGTGGTCAGGTTCGCCGACTTGGTTGACACGTGTCATCTTATTCCAGTTACGTAGAATGATGCTCATGCTGTTGATCACTGGATTGTCTGGTCCAGACTCGAGTATTTACAGACCACCGCTATATAGCTGGAATATTGCTGAGTGCGGCCTAAAACTAAACTCACTCACTCACTATAGAGGGGAGAAAACGGAAAGTATTCATGTCATATCGAGGGCAGATGTAGGATCTACATTTGATACCTTGTATATTTATGTGAGACATGCCTTCTATTTGTATGTATTTCTGTTTGTGGATACCTAAAACGTTAAAGCCACTGTACACACTGTGTAAATAATAATCACTTGCACTTGATTTATTCGACCATTAATCTAGAAAAATCAGATTAGTCAATCGGATGTTTCAATTCCTATTAACCACGTCTGATTGAAACAGTTGATTTGATGGTACATCATCGCAAAAGCTAGCATTTCTGAAATAATCACTGTCCGAAAAGCATTTCAAAATGATAAATATAGCTTGGAATCATAGCTTGGAATGTACCGACTTGCAGTTACCACAATATTCAACCGATGTGTGACAATAAACATTGGCAGAAAAAGCGGACGGTGTGCATTTCACATTTCACTTAAAAAAGCCCCAAAATTATAATGGCCATTGATGCAATTCCGTAATTTGGATCCACAACCAGATCAAAACATTTTCAGAAACCAACGCCAATAACATTGAGTTGGTGTTTAATTTGGTCATGGCAGAACTATGAAATACTCGTGACATTCTACTATCACGGACACATATACCCATCCTGTAGATTATGATACACCATTTTCATGGACACAAATAGCAGTGAACTAACTCTGGCATGAACCGCTTTACTATGAAAGGTGCTTCAATGAGATGGTCAGCCGGTGTCCTCGCCCAACAGAGTGAGGTGAGGTGAAATTGGGTTTAACGTCGTGCTTGAGAATATTTCGCTCATATGACGACGTGCATGCGTGTGTATGTGTATGTGTGGCTGCTTGTACTAGCCCAGACTTAAGCTGGTTTTATAGTGCTAGCCCACTGAGATACCATGCCGCAGTGAAGCATGAATACCCCACTCAGACACATTATACTGACTCCAAGCCGACCAGTCCTTGTTGTACCCATTAATGCCGAGCGCCAGACAGGGACCAACAAGTACCATATTTTAACGTCTTTTGGTATGACGCGGTCGGAGATCGAACCTGCGACCTTCCGCTACCCGGGCGGACGCTGTAACCACTACACCACAGATGCGGTTCCCTACAGAGTAGTTGCAACATACAAGGCTGTTACTTGACCATTACAATAAACATAAAGAAGTTGCAAATTGTGTGTCCTAACATTACAAGATGTTTCATATCATCTGAACGGTGTGCCTGTATGTTGGAACCCTACTGAGTCTTCCTGACCCGTGAAGATCCGGGTTAGAATTGGTTTTCAGTAACCCATGCACGTCGTAGAGGAAACTAACGGGATCGGGTGGTCAGACTCACTGACTTGATTCACACCTGTCATCGTATCCCAGTTGCGTAGATTGATACTCATGCTGCTTATCACTGGATTGTCTGATCCAGACTGCCGCCATATAATAATAAAATAATATGTGTATTCGTACCGCGCCGGGGGCGGTGGGGTAGCCTAGTGGTTTAAGCGTTGGCTCGTCACGCCGAAGACCCGGGTTCGAATCCCCACATGGGTACAATGTGTGAAGCCCATTTCTGGTGTCCCCCGCCGTGATGTTGCTGGAATATTGCTAAAAGCGGCGTAAAACCAAACTCAGTCTGTCAGTCAGTCGTACCGCGGTGGATTCCATACCAAAGTGTACACTCAAAGCGCTACATATAAAGGTGATGGGAGGGCTACAACACAAACATTTGTACATAGAAGCGACAAAACCCTTTCCACCTTCATAAGAAATCTCTGCCAAAAGCAGAGTCGATTGTACCGTTATGACTTTATCATGAGCAGATATTTGTATAGGCCTGCTGGACTATGATGAGTCAGGATCCGCTGACTGCGGATTCGAATCCTTGGGTCTCCACCATTGTGACCTTTGGTGCGTGCTCCCTTGGTTTCACCAACGTAGTGAATGTGTACAAACTGTGAGACTGCCCCGTCCTGGTTTGTATAAGTCACAGAATTCCTGTTGGTGTCATGTAAGTAGAGCAAGATAGCAGTAGAAATCAGGCCAAATGTGTGTGACAGGAGGCAAACAAGTTCGAAACAATTTTGTATTCAAGCACCACTTTGTCCCAAAGACATTAGGTGCTTCATACCTAATTTACCCTTCGAAAAAAGTTCCACGGAAGAATTACATTGCAGTCAACCATAGATGCCCTTTGTTTTGTCTCAAGATGGAGAGTATTTATCAATGCCGAGTGACTATTTAAACGATCCATATACAATTGTTGTTTAAGCCGTTTTTTCAGAGTTGTACAAAAGATTCACAATGGTTGTTACTGCTGTACATGGCCTATTGATTCAGGCTCTCGTTCATAAGAATGTGTACACAACACATGTTCAAAGATATATTGATCACGAAAACATACTGCTACACACTATTTCATAGAAATGAAAAAATCTTAATTATTTTATCTACCTATTATCTATGAAACTTTTAATAACTGTGTAATTATCACATTACTTATGCACACATGTTACAGCCTATATTCACGTGTTACAACCTATACTCACACGTCAAAACTTATATTTACACGTTACAGCCTGTAGCTATACTCACATGTTACAGCCTATACTCACACGTTAAAGCCCATACTGACATGTTAAAGCATATACTCACATGTTAAAGCCTATACTCATGTGTTACAACCTATACTCACACCTTAACGCCTTTACTGACATGTTACAGCATATACTCCCACCTTACAGCCTATACTGACATGTTACAGCCTATACTCCACCTTACAGCCTATACTGATATGTTACAGCATATACTCCCACCTTACAGCCTATACTGATATGTTACAGCATATACTCCCACCTTACAGCCTATACTGACATGTTACAGCATATACTCCCACCTTACAGCCTATACTGACATGTTACAGCATATACTCCCACCTTACAGCCTATACTGACATGTTACAGCCTATACTCACATCTTAAAGCCTATACTCACACGTAACAGCCTATACTCACATGTTACAGCATATACTCACATGTTAAAGCCTATACTCACATCTTAAAGCCTATACTCACACGTAACAGCCTATACTCACATGTTACAGCCTATACTCCCACCTTACAGCCTATACCTACATGTTACAGCCTATACTCACATGTTACAATCGATGCTCACATGTTACAGCCTATACGCACACGTTACAGCCTATATTCACACATTTTAAAGCTTATATTCACATATGACAGCATATGCTCACACGATACAGCCTATACTCATATGTTACAGCATTTACTTACATGTCAGAGCATATACTAACATGTTACAGCCTATTCTCACATTAACAGCCTATACTCACATGTTACAACATATTCTCACACGTTACAGCCTATACTCACACATTACAACTTATGCTCATATTATATAGACTATGCTCACATGTTATAGACTATACTCATATTTCATACCCTACATTCACACGTTGCAGCCTATACTCACATGTTACAGCCTATATTCACACGTTGCAGCCTATACTCACATGTTACAGACTATACCCACATGTTGCAGCCTATACTCACATGTTACAGACTATACCCACATGTTGCAGACTATACTCACATTGTTACAGACTATACTCACACGTTGCAGCCTATACTCACATGTTACAGACTATACCCACATGTTACAGACTATACCCACATGTTGCAGCCTATACTCACATGTTGCAGACTATACCCACATGTTGCAGACTATACTCACACGTTGCAGCCTATACTCACATGTTACAGACTATACCCACATGTTGCAGACTATACCCACATGTTGCAGACTATACTCACTTTGTTATAGACTATACTCACACGTTGCAGCCTATACTCACATGTTACAGACTATACCCACATGTTGCAGACTATACTCACATTGTTACAGACTATACTCACATGTTACAGACTATACTCAAATGTTACAGACTATACTCAAATGTTACAGACTATACTCAAATGTTACAGACTATACTCAAATGTTACAGACTATACTCAAATGTTACAGACTATACTCAAATGTTACAGACTATACTCAAATGCTACAGACTATACTCAAATGTTACAGACTATACTCAAATGCTACAGACTATACTCAAATGCTACAGACTATACTCAAATGCTACAGCCTATACTTGGACGTTAAACACTTTTACGTGACAGGCCAGGCTATACACGACCGTTACAACCTATATTCCCTATATCTCTCACCCACCCACTCACACGCACGCACGCACGCACGCACGCACGCACGCACGCACGCACGTACGCACGCAGAACATAGCTTGACCTCGACGGAGCGTTTTAAGCTTAAACGGAAAATTTGTGCAGTATTTATAATTCAAGGTCACATTAATATAAAATGATTAGTTGTTACTTACTCGGTAGACATCTTTATAAACAAACAAATCGATAATTTTTAAGTTACGAACATTTGTTCTTGGTAGAAGAAACATAAAAACCCACTTTGAAACGCAACGAACTCCGCAGTGAATGGGTCATTGTTACCCGGTTGTATGTAACATCTCCCACGAGGGGGAACAGTCCATTATATTCCATTTCTATTTACACCGTCACTAGCCAGCTGTGCATGTGTTACGACGCCACTCAAGTCATGGCAGGAAGAGTTATGACACACACGATCAAACCTTAGACAGGGCATGTCGTTAGATAAATCACTA